ACTCTCTCTCTCTCTCTCTCTCTCTACACACACACACACACACACACTCTCAAGGGTTGGATCAATCTATTTTCCTCTGTTTTCAAGAGGGAGAAGTGCGGATAATTGGGATGGTGGTAATGTCAGATGAGCAATACAAGAAATATCAAGTGCTGTTAACCCTCAAAATATGTTATCTGAATGAGTGTTTATGTTATTGACTTCGTGACATGGTTTATATGTGGCTTTCACACATCTCAATTATATCTGCATATATAGTTCTGATATATATATGTGGTGTGAAATTGTATTTCATTGTATATCACGTTTCACATATTAATGTGCTTTTTGCATGAGTAATTTTATTGTCTCCAAATTTCCACGTGTTTTTGTTTTTTGGTTGAACATGTTAACCTTTATATGGTAAAAGAGTCCAAGATATCAAAAAATAGGCTTCCCACAGAGCAGGAGCTCTGTAAACAAAAAAAGGTTCATCTCAGCAAGGGGTGCACAGTATAACCAAAAAGATAGGCCGCCCCTAAAGGGGAAGGGGGTGGGTGTGGGGAGGGGGGGGGGAGGGGAGGGGGGGAGAGAAATATACAAGGAGTTGGAGGGCCCGTAAAGATGCAGAAAACACTTCTTAATCAGAGGCCATCAAGAGGAGGGGTTAATATGTTGTCCAAAGATGATGTAGCGGCCTCCTTAGTGAGGGTGTCAGCTTCTTGGTTTGATTCCCGCGAAGTATCCCTCCATAAGATGAGCGTATCCCTGCAGAGGTGTGCAATTTCGTCAAAGATGCGAGCGAGTGGCGAAGGGTAGGGAGTAGATCTAGAAGTCCAATTAATTATCTTACAGTCTCCCTCAATCACAACCGAGGAGTTCCACTGAGGGTTGAGCCACTTGATCCCCTCAAGTAAGTCTCTGCTGTCATAGAGTCAGCATGGCCGATGTTTTTGGAGGAGGAAGCAATGGTGGAGCCACAATGGTCACTGAGGAGAGCCCTGATTCTCGAGGGGCTAGGGTTGCCCAGGGAGCAGCCACCAAAGTTGTGCTTGATTTGTTCTAGGTCAGGTGGCCTCCAAAAGGAAGCACGAGGGATATGGATTTGTCTATAGAGAAGAATGGTTTCCCAGTCTTGATAGAATGTGGTGTGAGATACACTTTAAACCGCTTGTGGTTGGAAGCCCAAAAAATTACCCAGGATTTGTTCTTGGCAAAGAGAGCAGCCGATGATGCCCATTCACCTCGGAAGATCCTATCATTGCGCTCGATCCACAAGGCCCAAATGGTAGCTGCAACCGTAGCCTTCCAGAGTAAAATGTCTGATTTTGGCCACGGGGAAGGGTGCAGAGAGTTTAGAAGCTGAGGGACAGAAGATGGTGTCACCCATTGATGTTTAAAGAGCCGGAGGATAGCTCCCTAGAGTTTATGGGCAAAGGGGCATAAGAGGAAAAGATGAGCATTGCTTTCCTTGTCTGCGAAGCATAACACACATCTATTGGGAATGGGAAAACCCCTCCTCTGCAAGTGGTCAACCATGAGAACCCTCTCTGACAGGGCCAACCACAGAAAGACCTGAATTTTTGGAGGGGCAAAAGAAGACCAAGCTTGAGCTACTATGGATGTGGGAGACAGAGGGAAAGTGGGTGGCTGAAGGAGTTTCTGATAGGAGGAAACCGAGAACCTCCTAGAGGGACATGGAGTCCAAATGATGTGGCCCGGACCATAGTTTGTTGGAAACGCTTGGGAACCCGAATCGTTTTAGGAATTGGAATCGCGAAATCGCGCCGGCTAGAAGATTCATGTCTTCGGAATCGTTGTCCGTACAATAGCAATCGCTAAGAACGAGATTCCTAGTTTTTGAGAATCATGTTTCGATCGAAATAGATCCAAGTTTCATCCACGTATGGAATCGAGATTCTGTCCTCCTTGGAATCGAGATTCCCAATTCCTTGGAATCGACACTCCAAGAGTCAAGATACATTAATATGCAGAATCGAGTTTCTGACATCTATGGAATCGAGTTTCTGACATATGTGGAACATAGTACGTTGTGGTTTCGAATTGTGATTCTAACATATTTGGAATCAAGTTTCTAAAGTACATGGATCAGAGATCC